TACAGGTTCATTCACTCAGCAACATTTCAAACATGATGTGCTGCTTTTTCTCTCATTGATTTCTGCTGATAAATGAATGATTTGTTTCTGTCTGCAGGATGCAGCGGTCAGGTGACTGTGACTCAACCTCCAGTAGTGACATCTACTCCTGGATCCACTGTCACTCTGACCTGTAGGACCAACAGTGCTGTTGGAACCTGTAATAGTAAACCTTGTATGTACTGGTATCAACAGAAATCTGGACAGACTCCAAAGCTCCTAATAAAGCACGGCAGCATAATTCAGTCAGGAACACCATCTCGATTTAGTGGCAGTGGAAGCAGCTCTGACTTCTCTATGACCATCAGTGGAGTTCAGGCTGAAGATGCAGGAGTTTACTACTGTAAGAGTGTGCATAACGGGCCAGTGTTCACACAGTAATTTGTAGTTGTACAAAAACCTCCCTCAGTCACACTACAGAGACACTGAGCTGTTACAGCAGGAACTGACTGCAGCTGCTGAAGAGGAAGAAACTCTGACAGAGACCACTGAACACAGAGCTGACAGTAACCTCACCAAGCACAAAATACATATCCACATTTATACATTTATACAGAGCTGACAGTAACCCCACCAAGAATTACCAATCAATCAATTTATTTATAAGCACATTTAAAAACAACACAGGTTGACCAAAGTGCTGTACATAGTAAAAAAGGAAAAAGTAAAACAAACACATGCAAAGAACAAAACAAAAGCTCAGTCACAATTAAAATCTAGTGAATAAAAATGTGTTTTTAGACGGGTTTTAAAGATGTCGAGAGTTATAGAGATCCTAATTTGAAGAGGCAGACTGTTCCAAAGTGTAGGCGCAGCAATCGCAAAGACCCGGTCTCCTCTGTGTTTTAGTCTGCTTCTAAAAATTGTCATGGTATGCGCTGGCAGACCATGGTAATTTTGGGAAAATAAGACCCAAATGCAGGAGCGTGCGATAAATGCAGTGTGTTTATTTACAGTGAAGTAAATAGTACACAACAATACATCTCTATGCGTTTCCAACTCCCATGCCATGTCTTCTTCCCAGTGCTAGTGCTCCACACACACACACACACACACACACACACACACACACACACACACACACACACACACACACACACACACACACACACACACACACACCACTACACAGGGAAACAAGGGACAGCAGTACAATAGACACACACCCCATCAAACATAAACAAGTCCATACAGTTGAGACAGTCCCTCGACCCAGGTCCTTCACAGGAACAGTCAGAAGTAACTTATCGGCAGACCTAAGAGTGCTGTTTGAAGTATTTCAGTTAAAAGATCAGAGAAGTATGATGGAGCTAATCCATTTAGAGACTTAAAAACAAGTAATAAAATCTTAAAATCAATTCTATAACATACTGGAAGCCAGTGTAAACAAGCCAAGACTGGGGAAATATGGTTGTGTTTATAAGTGCCTGTCAAGAATCTGGCACCAGTATTCTGAACAAGCTGAAGATGAGAGAGCAGAGCCTGGCTGATACCAAAATAAACACTAATACAGTAGTCAAGCCTGGATGAAATTACAGTTTTTTACAGACACTAGGACACATTTCCCAATACTTAGGTCACTTTTGTAAAACACTTCACACAATCCTCCTAACTGACCGTCAGCTTGGCAAAGCAGTTCATTTCACATTCAAAATGCACTACAACTACCAAAACACTTCATTCAGGTCTCAAATAAACTCATTCTTCCAGAACACTAGCAAAGGTT